TCCCCCAACTGAGCCTGCTTTCTCTCTAGGTTTTTTCCTTCACTTTCGTCAATTGGTGAAGTTTGTTTCATGCCACTGTCGCCACTAGCTTGCTTGGTTTAGGGCTTTAGAGCTGCGCATCGATGGATTTTCTCTTCAGTGTTTGGACTTTCAGCAGTGAAATTTAAACCACACTGAACTGAACTGAACTTTAACTCTGAAAACTGGACTGACACAGTTTCAATTTACTAGAACATTTCTGTTAAGGGGCGAAGCAGTGGCGCAGTAGGTAGTGCTGTCGCCTCACAGCAGGAAGGTCGCTGGGTCATTGGTTCGAGCCTCGGCTCAGTTGGCGTTTCTGTGTGGAGTTTGCATGTTCTCCCTGCGTTCGCGTGGGTTTCCTCCGGGTGCTCCGGTTTCCTTCACAGTCCAAAGACATGCAGTACAGGTGAATTGGGCAGGCTAAATTGTCCGTAGTGTATGAGTGTGTGTGTGAATGCGTGTGTGGATCTTTCCCAGAGATGGGTTGCGGCTGGTAGGGCATCCTCTGCGTAAAAACTTCCTGGATAAGTTGGCGGTTCATTCCGCTGTGGTGACCCCGAATTAATAAAGGGACTAAGCCGACAAGAAAATGAATGAATGAATGAATTTCTGTTAAGCTGCTTTGACACAATCTACATTGTAAAAGTGCTACAGTATATAGATAAAGATGAATTGAATTGAAAGTATTAGGACAACATGTAAGAATTGTGTGGAACCCTGCATTTCTTTAGAGTGAAGATTGGAAGCTTTATTTTTGTGACAGTGCCAGCTTCCTTTATTTGTAAAAGTGTGCGATTTACGATGTTACGCAATTCCACAGAATCACAATAACACATTTTTCTATTCATTAACATCTTAATTTGTTTGCTTGGCCTCAAAAATACAGTATCTCCTTTAGAATAAACCGCAATTCTTTATATATATATACTTTCCAGAGATTAGCCCTCCCTTTCTCGGCTTGCCGTTTGCTTAATTGATCTATGGCTATTACATTGTGGGCCATCAGTCTTCAGTAGAGCCTAATTTATTACGTTTGTGTGTGCGTGCATGTGTGAGCGCATCCATGCATATGTACAGGAGTCCGTGTGAGTGTGTGAGATAAGTCTCTTACTCCGACCCGGCGCGCCATGAATCACTGTGCTGCTATGCCGCGGATCTGAGATGTCATTGTAATTAATGGTAATACAAGGCAGTGGAAACAGTAGCAGACCTCCGAGCTCTTTAATTAGCTGCAGTGATGAAGGAAGACACAGAGCAGAACAAGAGACCCGCGATGGTGATGAATAGACCGATGCTAGGAAACACCAAAAGAGCCGAGGATCTAGCAAGACCTCGCAGGCCCGCTGTATCGCTCTGTCATGCTCGGAGAAAATGGACACAGAATCTCTGACTCGAAGGCAACTGGCATTATTCATCACATTTTGATTGTGCGCGAGACACCATCCAGGAGTAAAAGCTGTAGATGCTATAGTGGTATTTTGCTCAAAAGAAGATGCACAGCTATAAAGGGCAGCACTACCGGTGTCGTAGCCTGCTCATGTTAAGAGGCATTCGTCATTGCCAGGGTCCTACGACTTAATTAAGCTTTCAGAACATCCCACCCCTCCACCCTATGTGGGAGACACGTTTTAATCTAAATCACAAAGCAGACTGGTCTAAGCTTGTGTAAATAAGCGGCGAACATGCCTTCTGGGAATTGTAGTTCTGGTTTAGGGTGCTGTTAAGCCAATTATTCTAGTCAAAATTGCTTTAATGATGGCATGTAAACAATTGAGCACACAACATCATGTATCAAGCTGCATTTTCAGGAATGCTGATATAACATTCCGGCAGCACTTTCCAAAGTCGTACAACAATTCGCAACTATTTCAATTTGTTTCAACTAATTGGTGTGACCTTATTCAAGCTTTTCAAACGATTTGCTCATACCCTGCAAAAGGGTGGTGAAACTATTGTTTAAAAAATAAAATATCATACATTTTCATACAATTGGCATCCGTGTGAATATTCACTCATTTATTCATTCATTTCCCTTCTGTTTAGTCCCTGATTATCAAAGGTCGCCACAGCTGAATGAACCGTCAACTTTTTACAGCATATGTTTTACACAGCGGATACCCCCCCAATCCCTCCACTCCCAAAAAAAATTGTTTCACAGACAGAAGATTTTTTTTTCAACACATTTCTAAACATAATAGTTTAAATAACTCATTTCTAATAACTGATTTATTTTATTTTTGCCATGATGACAGAAATTAATATTTGACTGTATATCAAGACACTTCTACACAGCTTAAAGTGAAATTTAAAGACTTAACTAGGTTAATTAGGCTAACTAGGCAGGTTGGCGTAATTAGGCAAGTTTTTGTATAACGATGGCTTGTTTTGTAGACTATCGAAAAAATTTTAAACTGCTTTTATTCTAGCCGAAATAAAACAATTAAGACTTTTCTTCAGAAAAAAAAATCAGACATACAGTGAAAATTTCCTTGCTCTGTTAAACATCATTTGGGAAATATTTAAAAAAAGGAAATAAATAAACAAAAGGGGGGCTAATAATTCTGACTTCAACTGCATATTTATTCATAGGTCTCACAAAAATAGCGTATATATCTACAGTTGAATAAAACAAAATAAAATACAAATAACCTTACTTAAAGTTGCAGTATGTAAGTTTGACACCCAGTGGTTGAAACAGGTATTACATTCCTGGATCAAAACAAACACAAGCGGAGGTGGCCAGATTGAGGATAGAGTCTGACAATCAAAGGCTGATTTAAGTCGTGTTTTAAATAAAAGCAACGGCACACAATAGAGGGAGTATTCACCATATTAAAAGGAGTTTTTTGTCCTAACTAACACCTGAAATTGATATATTAGAAACTTTCTATTTCTTGCAGCTGAGTAACAGACAATTTTGACAATCATGTGCTTTGAGTGTTAAATGCTAATATTATGAGTTTGAATGCCATTTTGCATTACATTTATTGCCATATAGTGAAAGCAGCAGCAGATAGTTTACCTCAGATGTTGAAAATAAAATAAACAGTTTAAAATTGAATTTTAGAACTGTGACTCAGTGTACACATATCAGTGATTCAGCATGTGCATTTAATAATGTTAAAGAGGTTTAATATGTATTATTAAAGCAGGGGTTCCCAAACTTTTCAGCCTGCGACCCCTAAAATGACAATGTCAGTAAATCCCGACCACCAATATCCTCTGAGGTGGTTATAAATATAGAAACCTTGCATGCAATGGCGCCCACACACCAACAGGCCGAAGTCTATTCTTTGTGTAATTTTCAGTCAGTGCTGTAAATGTGCCAGAAAGTTTAACCTGGTATTATAAAATCAATCTGCTGAATCTGACGCTACTGCTGTTTCTTTAATGTAATGTATTTACCCCAGGGGTTGCAGTCCAATAGAACTAGTAACTATAAGCTACTATAGTAACTATATAGTATAACTGTAAACAACTTGGGTTTAATAAAAATAAATAGATTTTTGGAAATCACCAGGAGACCCCCCATTCTTTGTCCCGCGACCCCTCGGGGGGTCCCGAGCCCCACTTTGAGAATCACTGAATTGGATTATAAACCTTACCATTTTGTGAGTGAGCACATAAACTGTGCTTCTGAATGGCTGTATTTAAATTTCCGCCCTGTTTCGTCTGGTGCAAACAACTCAATTGCTGATCACTGAAAATCTCAGTAAAACATTTTGTTCCCACTTTATATTTAGTGGCCTTAACTAACATGTACTTACATAGGAATTAATAGTTTACAATGTACTTATTGTGTAAATACATGTATTTACTATGTACTTATGCTTGATTAAAAAATATACGTATTTACATCTGAAATTAACTTTTGTAATTACATTTGTAAATACACTGTTGACCATCCCTTACACCTTAACCCACCCTTAAACCTACCCATGCCACCAAACCTGTCCATAACCCAACCTTTATCCCAACTCAAAAGCACCACAAGTGTTCTCAAATACATTATAAACACAGTAAGTACATTGTACTTACATCAGAAAAATAAATACATAGTAGTTAAGGACACTTAATATAAAGTGGGACCAACTTTTTATTTAAAAAAAGTATTTTTACCATGTTTTAATTCCTTTTCTTACAGTAACATTTGTTTAAATGTTCTCCATTTATTTACTGCTGAGGATACTGACCTGACCTATATTTTTATTATTATTAAATTGTTTTTGCTCTATTATTAAATGTATTAAATTATAAACATTTTTTGATAAAGCAAGTCAAAATATTTTCCAACTCGGATATTTAAAACAATCCTCAGCATTTAGCCTGGTATAAGTCTAAAATCTCATTCATAATGCTCTTTAAAACTCCTTAAAAGTCTTAAATTTTACTTGAAACTTGCAGACACCCTGAAACAAATTAATAAGAGTAATTTTTACCATGTTTTAAATGTCTTGCCAGATTGAAAAATGCCGTGTTTGTCCAGCAGCATGATACTACAAATGAGTTTCTGTCTACAAACAGTGTCGAACAGTGACTGATAGTTGATGTCATGCGAAAGCAGCATGCTATCTTCATTAAATGATATATGATCATTTCTGAGCACAAATTAATAGGCTTTATGAGCGTCGAGCTGCAAAATGATGACAATGATGCCAGTTTACCATTTAGATTGATCTGGTCTGTCTTCATACGTGTCATTAATGAATCCAATCGATCATGTTCAATGAATCCTTTACAAATCAAAAGAACTGCTGACCTTTCGGTAAGAGCTCAATCACTATTTGCAGAGTGCTTTGTCATTTTTTTTTTTTGCACAGAAAACAGGACTGAGGGGTTTGGATTGCTGGATTTCTCTTAAAAGTTAAGAAGCTCCAGTATTTCCCAACCTGTGATATTTATAGGATGCCTATAATGCATCATTGCTAATATGCAATACTTAGTAACATTGTTGTAATGTTTTGTGTGCTTCTTTTTAGGCAGAATGGGGTCATATTGTTCGCAATCTGAGCGTCGCTTTCTGAATACTGATGGGGTGGAATAATGACGGGACACAGCACAGGTAAACAGAGGGTCTGATTCCCAGTGGTCCGTGTCTTATTGGAGAGACGGTGTGAAACTGTGTTTGCTCTAGTTCTACCAGACTTTCCATTACAATGAAGCAGGTCGAGGCACAGTTCCGCATAAATACCTAGCGAGACAGGTGTTATGAAAAGAATCTACATTTGAGCACATCTGCCAGGATTTTTTTTGTCAGTACTCACATCTGGACATTCAGCCTACTTTTTCAATACTACAAACCATCCAAGATTGCTCGGTTTCTCAATCATGGATCAAGTTTGCAACTTCCTGCTGTAATTATGACAATCTGCCTTTTGATAGAGATGGAATTATGCAAAGAGACCGTTTAAACGAGAAAACTGACAAATAGTTAACCTTAAATCAGATAATCAATAAATCATCCAAGGCAGATAGAGATAAAGGAGCTGTTGAAGGAAAAGAGATTAGGGTCCTATGAAAAACTGTTTGTTTTCAATAATCTTTTTTTATATATGAGCAATTCCATGCAAATGTCAACCTTGCCATGAAAAAAAATTTAGTTTTCACCAAAATATGGAAACCGTTTCTGGGTTTTTTGGGTAAGCAAGTATTTTACAGTACTTTAGAAATGCTCAAATGCATCTGTCAGTTTTTAAACTATTCTTTGTAATTTATCAAAGTCACACAAGTGGCAAATTCACATCTGTCACATCCATAACGAGAGATTTCACATACATGACGACACTTTTTTAATCATAAATTGAAAATATTAAATTAATTAAAACCAATCATTTTTGTTTGATAGAGAGCCAACTCATATCCTTTTGATTATCAATGTTTCTTTATGGTTGTGCAGTTTAATTCACAGAATTTCTACAAAGTATGTTGTATACTGTAAACCCACAGACTTGTCATATCTGTAACACATGTTCATTTTCCTCACTTAAAGTACAAAACATATTTAGAGATTGATATTTTTCTGGTCCCTTAACTCTGTGGTTGGTAGTTCTGGAAAATATAAACAAAGGTTTCAATATAATGTTAGCATCTACTTTCTATGTGAATTTATATTTTGAGTTTTAACTGCAAATGACACATCCATAGCGCTGGAATCGCTCATATATATTTTTTTCTGGACAATTTTAATAGTTAAAATTAATTTTAGTGATAAGTTTTTCCAAATATTTTGTTTAATTCCTGTTGAATTAAAACACAAAAAAGTGCTGTACAATGCTGCGACGTTTATACTAAACTGAACTGAAGTGCTTTTAATTTAGAACTACAACATTTGTGGAATGTTTCATTATTATAAACTTTACCTTCTTTTTCTTTACGTTAAGCTGCTTTGAAATTCTACGTCGTAGAAAAACGATTTACGAGAAAAGATAAATTGAATTCACTGTTAAAAAAACTAATTGTTATTTATTATCTAGTTCCACACACTTTATTATGTTCCCTTAATTACTCTTTTCCAAATGATTCATTAATTATTAGTTGGCACAAACTTAATTCCAACTATAAAACGATTATAATATTGTCTGGATTTGTGCATTTGTCCAGTCAATGTTAACCAATCTGAATGTTAACATTCAAGATTTGCATTTACATTTAGTCATTTAGCATTATGCCTTCAGTGATTTAAGAAGGAGAGGCAATACACACAACAAGTGCAAATTATACAAAGGTGCTGTTTTTGTTTTTTTTAGAGGGAGAGAGAAGTGTGTTTCTACAGGTGGTTTGTCAAGCCCACCTACCTGTGTGTCGCACACTTTATAAAAGCACAATTATTTTTTGATATGGAGTGATTGTTAGGAAGTGTCTGGTGCATGTGTCGGTTAAAGTGTCGGAGAGATGAAAGTATGTTTTTTCTACAGTCAAACTACTTATTTATTTGTTCAAACTACTTTTTAAAAATAAGCCGAAACAACACAGTTCTTGAGCGTTTTGCGGAAAACGTAATAGTTTTATGTTCAATCCACTTAAATTTGTAAATATATATATGTGTGTGTGTGTGTGTGTGTGTGTGTGTGTGTGTGTGTGTGTGTATATATATATATATATATATATATGCTGTATGTCTGCCCATCTCACTTAATAGTTCTCCTTAATAATAATCAGAAAAATCTAATACATTTTAGATGCAATCATGTGTAAATCTTTTAAATTAAAAAAATAAATTAATAATTAAAAAGAACCCTTGTCTACATAGTCTACATGTGTCCACATTTGTTCATGTAAAAATGTTATTTTAGCACATTAGCACAATTTCTTTATGGGGGAAAATTGTATTAAATAAATATAATGCATTTGCCTGGATATCAACTGTTAAGTAGACCCTCAAAATGGGCATTATAAATTACTTTAATATAATACTTTTAAAAAAATTCTTTAATGCTAAATGAAACAAAGCAAATTAAATCATGCAAGTTTTTCTAATTCCACATTTTTACTAAAAAATCTGCAATATTTTTAACCACAATTGTCATAATTGAGCGTATTCGCCTGTTGCTGAACACTGTTTGCTTTGCTAATGATTATTTCTTAAATGGTTTTCAGTATAGTTTTTACACACACCGCCTCATACCTAATAGCTCGTCGCTTGCTGCAGAAGATATACCTTCCTTGTTTTAAAGGACTCACATCATTAAAGATGCAATTTAGATAATTAGCAGAACACTCATGGTGGAAGCTAATTGAATGGGTTAATGGCCATGCAGGTGTTGATGCATGGTCTCTGTGGGACATTTTGTGTTCTTCTGGTCAAAAACAAAATCCCACTGTGCTCTTGAAATCCATCTTGGACAAAGTTTCATGTATTAGGCTCTGTTGATAACAAAACTATTCATAGCATGGCAATCTATACATGAACTAATTATTAATGATGCAAACAGCACATGTAGGTCTGCAATATCATTAAACATTAATAATATTAAAGTCTTATTTATATGTGTATGGTTTGTACACTCCCAAAGTCTCCCCTCAAGGCTGAACTACTCTGATTTCACACAGTGAATTTTGTAGTCTCGGATGGAATTCAGCTCCAGGTGGGATTTAAATGTCCCATGAGATTGAACACATCAGACCCTGTCAGTCCAAAAAGCAGAAAGGACAAAACATCAGGGCTATCATTAATGTCTAAGGGAAATTAAAATGTACTGATTATTGACAGTTGTGAATGTAGTTAACTCAAAATATACTTAAAGTTGATTCTACTCATTTAAAAAGAGTTTTGAACTCGGTGTTGAAGGTAATGAGTTAAATAAACACCTCATTACTTCAACTTAAATGGAGTACGTTCACGGTATGCATATGGATTAGTTTTTTAACTCAAATGGTTTGTTGCAATCAGTTTCCTCAAAAAGTTTGAGTTACTGTCACTTTTTGGGTTTTACAGTGTATTATTATTACCTAAAAAGTACAAATGGGTATCTCAGAGTACCTTAAAGGTACACAACTAAACCTTAAAATTACAAAAGTATACCCTAAAAGTGTCACGGCCACACAAGGAAGACGAATGATAAAATTTCAAGGGCGTTCATTCAAACGTAGCAACAACAATGGTTAGGTGAAGCAGGTGAATGATGTTGTAGAGAGTAAGCAATCTCATACACAACCAATTCAATGCATAAGCTCATTACTTTGGTTAAACGCCAACATAAGAATACTCACTTCCATTAAACAGGTTTATCTGCATTCGCAGGAGAAGGACAGTCGGAGGGAGAACATCCATGGAGGAGCACAGGAGAATTCAGGAGAGAGGACTATGCGTCTTTGGTTCCAGCTGAAGACTGAGTGAGTGAGGTGAGTATTTATAGTGAGTTGTTGTGATTGCAGGTGCAGGTGATTGGTAATCAGGTGAGGGTTCATAGGTGTGGTGTGTGGTGGATGATGAGGGAGTGTGGTGATTTTAGCTGTTTTGCAATATGCGTTCTTAAGCGGTCTTGCTTCCTTATGTTCTCGTGTAACGTCATCATCAGCTGCTTAAGTTCAGTTCCAATACTCAAGACCATAAGAACGCGTGAAACTTCCCGGATGTGTTCTAGATATCGAGGCACACGGATGCAGACTTGAGCACCGAACTTGCTATAGAAGTCCCAGAAGTCATTGCGACTGGAGGTGGGAAGCGCAGCATTTTATTTAGATTTGTTATTAAAGTTCAGAGATATCCCTTATTTATCTCAGGAGTTTCCCTAAATGAAACAGTGAATATAAACATTATCATGAAAATCTTAATAAAGGGTTAAACACATTAAGTGTTAATTTAACACATTAAGGGTGTTTATTTGCTAAAATTCATATTAAAATGTTTTATTTATATTGTGCAACGTATATTTAAATGTTTTAAATAGTATATATTTTGAAAAGGGGAAAAGCAAATAAATCGTTGTTTGAATGTTGTAATGTTTAAATTTTTCTATTAAAAAAGCGCAAAGGTCACGTGACCATCAGCATCTCATTTCCCACAGGACACGTCCTCTTCCAGGACAGGACCTGTTCTTGTGGTCTCCCGAGTTTGTTCTTCCGAGGACAACTGGCAAGATCAGTCTCCACAAGAACACAAGTCCATTCTCTGAGTTTATAGAACTGTGCCGTTTTTTTATTTATTTTTTTAAATTTTTTTTTTGTTTGTTTTTGCTTTGTTTTATTATATATAATTAACAAAATACAGTTTCTATAGTTCTGGTGATAACCTTAAATCTTCTTTACTAAAAAAACAAAAAAAACAAAACACCTATTGGCCTACTGTACAGTATATGACAGATGGCACAATCTAACTAAACATGATGCTTGTTATAAACTATGGGCTACATTATTTGAGCATTCATTATGACATTGATATGATCTGTTGTGTCCAGCTTATGTTTCCTTTTTAATATTAAGATTGTTCTTTAAAATCTGTAATAGGCTACCCTAATCGTTGGTAAAATAACCAACCTTTTAGCAAAGTCTGATATTTTCCTGCAGGTTTGAAGCAGACTAAACTAAACCCTCTGAGGCGAGTTTTACTTAATTAACATTTCCTCGTCTAAACTCGCCACGAGTGAAATGGAGAAACTAAAAGCATGTCTGAAAAATAATGTTTTTTGTCTGAAAAATTATTTTTTGAAACAAATTTTGTTTGCTATAATTTGTTGGTAATTTTAATGTATTTTTGTTGGTCAGTTATCTATACAATGAACAAGTTGAGATGAAGTTCAAAACAAGGTCCGCTTATAGGCTAGTATGCTTCAAAGCACAAACTGACAAACAGGTCTGTTAAATAAAAAATTTATATATATAAAGTAACAGTGAAATATTCACAGTTTTGGAGTAGCCTATATTAGGCTATATAATTTTCTGTTAATGACAATTACTATGCACTGGGCCGTCAGTTTCACTTTTAGCCTATTAATTTAATCAACTACTTTAACCAAAATAAGCCAGGCTTTACCAACTATTTGCACCACTTAAAGTATTCCCCTCGGAAGAATAAACTCAGTCGGAAGGATGAGAGAAGAGAAACTTATTGTAAGAATAATCTTACGGAGCAGCACATGTCATGTCTGCACAACATGATTTAAAAACAGCAATGATCTCCATGTTTCAAGTCAAAATAAATCAATTTAATGCAAAACTAAAAGCATTTCTCCATCGATTACTTATATTAACAGGAACAATTAGTCTTAAAGTTTTTCGAGCTGTCATTAACGTGACGCGCAGTTTGAATTGTGAATGAATGGAGAATGATTGACAAGTGCAGTGGCGGGAAGCGCTGAGCTGAACATGAATTTAACCATGTGAATATTAATCTGTGCTTCACATTAAACTATAAAATGACTTCAAAACATTTGGGATATAGTATAGGCATACATGACAACTTTCTAGTGCCTTTCAATAGGCTACCTCAATGGCTTTTGTTGGCTTATAAATTACAACAAATATAGCACGCGCGCAAGATCGGATTTGGATTGGTATCAAATATGCAGTATCCTACCAATATCTGATCCAGGTATCGGGATTGGTGCATCCCTATTAAAGACACAGATGAGAGGTTTGCACTGACTGTGTGGGCTATATTTTGCGTGTTGTTTTTGAACCCAAATAAGGCCTAAATGTATGCTGTGTGTTGTTGCTCAGTGGAAACGGGCCATAAGGTTATCTAACACAAGCTCATTTTGAAAACGTAGCCCTGCGGACGTTTCTGGAGACCACGAGTTACGTATGTATGATTTTATGTATGGCTGCATTTCGTTTTTTCAAGCGAACGCTACAGGGCAGTGTGACATCGCTGCTGTTCGTGCTCGCCGGCTGGGCTGATGACTCAACTCCTCCATGTGGAGGGTTTTCCTGCTGCAACCAGTTTGTGCGGTTAGCTCGTTGTGTTACGTCGGCGGAGCGGAGGCCCAGAGGAGGTTGAGCCGGCCGCGTTCGATGACTGTGTTCCAGTCCGCGGAAGAGCGGTTCCTGTAATCAGGTGAGACAAAAAACAGAATCCAAAAAATAAAGCAAACGAGTCCGTAACAGGGCGAAAATGCGGTGAAATCCGAAAACGTGGTCAAAATCAGACTAGCGCTTTTCTTTTTCTGCACAGCTTTTGTAAATCGTTGCTTGGGTTTAGAGAAGAAGAAGGAGGAGGAGGAGGGTGGCTGGGTCGGCTGATTGGCCAGCCACCCAGTCAGTCCTTCAGTTATTCATTCAGTCAGTCGGTCAGTCGGTCGCTCAACAGCGGCCTCTGGCGGCTTTTTACGCGAGAACATCGTGGGCGCGAACAGATTCGTGAAAACAAAAACTGCGCAAATACGTGCCTTCCGGGACGTATTTTGCGGTCTCCAGAAACGTCCGCGGGGCAACGTTTCCAGAATGAGCCTGGGTTGCAACTATCATAACGTCACAATCTTACACTGGCCCATGTTTAAAGTGGACACACGCTCTTAGTATAAGTTTATTCTTTTAAATAAACTTTGCAAAGGTGTACTTCTTTCAAATTTCCCCTACAGCCATTTATTCTACAGCCAAAACCTAATTTAGTACTTTTAGTTCACATCAAGCGAATGAGCGTTTGTTGTCAATTCAAACGATATCAACAGTATTGATTGTAAAATAGCACAAAACTTCTAAAACTGTACTACACAAGCATATTCTGCTGGTTTAGATTGTGGTTGTCCACTTTTTTTATATTTCATGTGCTCAGTTGTCAATATAAGCCCTGCAAGGATTTGCACAAAACCACCCCCATCCCGCTCCTATCAGTCACAGATAGACTCTTAGTATGGGCTCTTATAGCAATCCTCTGCTTGAGTTCTGATAAGAGTCTTACTGCTTTGTAGCAGAATCAATACTGACATCAAAAGCTCCAAAGTTCACAGAATTAAGTGCCTTACAGACACCTCGCAACCAGCAGCACCAAATTAGTACGTCACATGTAGGACACCATGCGACGTTACGTAAATGGTAATAATAAAAACACATATTTAAATGTCTCTGCCATGTTGTCCCATTCATGTGGCAGCATCTATTAAAAGGCTGGCGGTGGCATCATGGGAATGCAGACTAATCAACTTTGTTTAGATGACTGTGTTCATGTCAGTCTCTCAAGGGTCAGCTGTTTATTTAATGCAGTGGGACTGATCTATTACGGAAGATGACCTTATTACAGAACGTGACTACTTAAATTCCACTCACATTTCAAAGCTCGATTCCCCTCCATTTAATTTCTTTTAGATTAATTAACGGCATCCACTCTGTCATATTTCATTTGTATGTTTCCATGGCGACCGCACACTCACCAACCCCCCATGGCATGAAGCACAGGGATGGATAAAGGAGGAGGAGGAGGTGTTTAGGAGGAGGATCCTTCAGTCAGATGATTGGGAGGTGAGCGGGGCTACAGTTTGATTTACAGTGCCATTCAAAATGCAGATTAATGGCTGGAGAGATGGGTGTGGTCGTCGCTAGCCGTTAGATGAGATAAATGGGCAGAGAGGCAGGGAGACAATAATGCATGGAGATTAAATATGCCTGCGCTCCAGTCTTTAAGGAGCAATTTGATGTCGTTTTAAAAGGTCATTATTTTGGGTGTACTAGAATAGGTTAATATGCTTTAATGGGAAAGAAAAAAAGCTGGTTATTTTTAAGATACTGTATACCCACAGGTACTTTCCTAAAAGTAATTTTCCATTCTTAAAAAAATATATCTATTAATTATTAGTTGTTTAGTTTCTCTCAATTTATAAGTGTTATCTGTTTATTCACGCTTTCGAATTGCATTATTATTATTTAACACCTTCACTGTCACACTCTTTGAACATAGACGTGAAGAAGACATGCATGTTCAACTTAAATGATTGCTAATCTTCAATGGTGCACAAATAAAAAGTTAAATAAAACATTATTAACCAAAAGTTATGCGCCTTTATGTTTATGAAAATAATAAAACATTCATTCATTCATTCATTCATTTTCCTTTGGCTTAGGCCCCTAATTATCAGGGGTCGCCACAGCGGAATGAACTGCCAACTATTCCATCATATGTTTTACGCAGCGGATGCCCTTCCAGCCGCAACCCAGCCGTTAGGTGAGATAAATGGGCATTCACTCACACACTCATACAATATGGCCAATTTAGTTTTTTCAATTCACTTACAGTGCATCTCTTTGTACTGTGGGGAGCCGGACCACCCCAGAGGAAACCCACACAAACACGGGGAGAACATGCAAACTCCACACGGAAATGCCTATTGGCCCAGCCGGAACCACCGACCTTCTTGCTGTGAGGCGACAGTGGTAACCAGTGAGTCTCTGTGCCCCCCATTAATAAAACAATATATTTATATTTCAATATGTTTAATAAAAAACGT